GGGGGGGGGGGGGGGGGGAGAGGGGAAGGGGTCAGGGTTTAGGAGTTTAGGGTTTTAGGGTTTAGGGGGCCTTTGACAAATCTTTTGTTGGTCTCAAATGGTTTCTTATATTGGCGGATCAAGTATGTTCTCCTTTTTCTTAAAAATCTGATGATGTATATTATGACCGAGATTTCCTGAATGTTTGAGGTACTGAATTGTTTTGCATTGTGATATGTTTCTCTGCTCGCTGTCCTTACTTTATTTTTCCCTTCTTTTTTACTTTGATGAAGTTTGATCCAGATGGAAAAAAAAGAAGATGGTTTTGTCTTGTTTACTTTGTGTTGCTGAACTTGCTTTCAAGGAGTGATGCATGTTAAGTCTCTTGGTTGATGTCAACACCAACGTCCTTTACAGTGATGCTGCAAGGAACTGAGGATAATGCTCTCGATGGCTGTCTCTTCCTTCATGGCCATTGCAGCAAGCAACTTTGGAAGGAGTATTTGATCAAGCCTGTGCGCTGTTCAGTGAAGAGCAGGTAAAGTATTATACATAGCGTTCAGCCTTCTGATGAGTTGGTGAAACTCCGACGAAACAGTTTGTCACAGCCCCTCGTTTGTTGTCCTCTTCTCCCTCTCTGCCTACGGTTTACTGGGCAGCTCTGTTCGACTCTATATTTATCGTCAAAGAGCAGGTAAAGTATGTATATAATTAAAAAAGGAGCAGGTAAAATGAAGCACCTCCTTGCACCATTTGCCCGACGCACCAGTAGTCAGCATAAAATGGTGGTGCTTTTTGACACATCTGGCATCTCACAGTTAACCAACTGCTACCTAGCCATGCCCTGGTTAACTGCAGTGAGCTGCAAGCTGTGCCAGAGTTAAACTGCAGTTAACTACGACTGTTGTCACAGTTAGCTGCAGTTAAACTACTACCTGTGTCACAGTTAACTGCAGTTGCTAGTTGTGTGACAGCTAACTGCTGGCCGTGTCACAGTTAACTGCAGTTAACTGCTAGCCGTGTCACAGTTTGATGCTAGCCGTGTCACAATTAACTGCAGTTAACCGTTAGCCGTGTCACAGTTTGATGCTAGCTGTGTTACAGTTAACTGCAGTTAACCGCTGCCCGTGTCACAGTTTGATGCTAGCTGTGTCACAGTTAACTGCAGTCAACTGCTACCCGTGTCACAGTTAACTGCAGTGAACCGCTAGCCGTGTCACAATTAACTGCAGTTAACTGCTAGCCGTGTCACAGTTGACTGCTAGCCCTGTGACAGTTAATGCAATAACCCATGCCATATGTCGTCTGAGGGCCAAACGCGGCAACCCTCAGTCCAGGCCACATAAGGGGGCAAAGGCCCTAAGTCTGCTACAGGGCCTGGACGCCAGGCAGTTGACCGTAGTCAACTGTCAGATTTCCAAAGGTCAAAATCATTGTGTACCCAGCCCAGGCCGCCGGTCAAGCACACACACTTGTTTGTATGCAGGTACCCGAGCAGCATCCAAGCCAAGTGGAAAACTGCAACTGTACACGATCCAGACCTTCGACGGCAGCTGGGAGGACTGGAGCGCTAGCGCCGGACCGGTTAGCGCTAATTCCGAGCGCTAAACTTCGCGACCGCGCCACGGTGAATTTTTCACTCGGCGCGGAAACGCGCACCGCGCGCGCGTATCATCACGATTCATCGCGCGCACACTTCATCGCGATTCGAATTCGAAGTAGTAGGGCGGGAAACTGAGAGCAGAGAGTGCACCACACCTCGCCACGCCCTCGGGCGTGGCCACTTGCAATCAAGCAAACGACAGGAAGTGAAGGAGAGAGAAAGGGGAGGTACAGGAAGGGAGGAACAACGACGACTACGAGAACAACAGAGAAGTGGGGTGTAGCTAAGTACAGGAAAGGACAACAACGGCGGGGGGTGAAAGGAAGAAGCACAAACAAGTTTCCTGAAGAGAGTGGAAGAGGGGAAAGAGAAGGGAGGGGGAGATAGAACTAAGAAAAGGAAATGGCAAAAGAAGAGACGACCACCCTTCGGGTTCGAGTACGAGCGCGAGCAGGGGGAGGGTAGGGAAAAGACAAAAGGAGAGAAAGACAAGTCGAGCTACGCACAGACTGCGTCAACTTGCGAAGCCCGCGACACGACGAACGCTCTCGCCACGCGCACACATCATCACGCTTCGAATACGAATTTAGAAGGTGGAAACGAGGAAAAGGCACACACCACTCGACGCCACGCCCATGGGCGTGGCCACCCGCAACCTAGCAAGAGAAAAGAGGAGAAGGGAGAAGAGGGAGGAGGAACGGCGAGGGAAGGTGAAGCAACGAAGTGAAGTGGAGCGCTACTAAGATAAGGAAAGGACAACAACAGACGGGCATACGAGGTTAACAGTACGCGGCGCCAGAATAACCCTGCACTACCAGAATACGATAAAGTGAGAGCTGGACAATACCAAACCCCCCCTCTTTTTACCCTTCTCCACCCTCCCGACTTGCCACACTACTGACATTCTATGCGCACTACTCGCCCAGTTTCCAGCAATCATATCTCTGCCCATCTCCGAGCTTGCCCCCCCTTACCCTACGGCCCACTGTAGCTTCCGCCTCTTACTACCCATCCCGACCTTGTACCCAAACAATATCTGACCCAACCTCAACTTCGTTACTGTCTGGCCCCCGTCCCCACCCCGAACCCAACCCCATCCCGACCCCCTTCCCCACCCCAACTCAGTTACGACGCCGATCCCGACCTTACTCCGGCCCCAACCCGATCGACTTCACCCCACATCTTCCTCAATCCATCCAAGGTTCTTCCCACCACAACTCACCTCCTCCTCTCCCGCCCCTTACTCTCCCCTATACTCACACGATCGTTCTACCGCGCGCACAACCTGGTTTAGATCCCAACCCAATCTTGATCCTATCCCGATCCCGCCATGATACCGTCCCCGCTCCCGTCCCTGCGCCCGTCCCTACCACAATTCCGTCCCCGCTCCCGTCCCTGCTCACATCCCGATCTCGATCCTAATTCTACTGTCCCAACCCCGACTGGATCATAACCTACTCCCAATTCGATACCACTCCATTTCAGATCCCCCCACCCTGCCGCGCGCCCCCGCCTCAACCAGGTTCAGTCCACCCGCCCCATCCAAGTCACCTCATATCATCTCCCCCTTTATTCAGTCTACGGAACCCCCACAGCCTCTCCGACCATATCCCGAGTTTGTCCCCAGCCCACTAGTCACCAACTGGTTCACGATCCCACCTCGCCACACACTCGCACATCGCTTGTCTTCGCTCGAGCCTCCAACCCACACCCATCTTGGATCACCCTCCTCTCCACCTCTACCCCGATCCCGACCCCCTTGTTAATTTATACCGTCCCGATCCTGAGTATTCCTCCTGCCTCGATTCCACCCTTACCCTGACCTCATCTCTATCCTCGTCGGATCCCCGCCCCCTCCACGGTCCTCCCCTCTGATCCAGGCCACACGGCGAGTAACGCCCCCAACCCGACCTCGTTTTACGTCTTTATACCGATTCCAGCCCGTACACAACCCCCATCCTACCCCGCCCCCGACTCAATTCCACTTGATCCCTGAGCAGATCCCACCCCGAGTAGATCCCATCCCACTCCGGATTGCATCCTATCCCTTTCCCGAAAC